AGGTATTTACTTTCAAAACGAAAACGTTCGATGCCGAAGTATCACTGGATAATATTTTTCGGAGCGCTTGGCTCCTATTATATAGCGGTCGCTGCTACCTCCGGTCGACCAATCGGGTCGCACGACCGTGCGACAAGTGGGGATGCTACGTTCCGATTGGTCGGGTGCCGCTACCGTTTGCGTCATAAATACCGCGTGCAACCTGTGTTAACTATCATTCGCATTTGTAACTTGTACATTGACGTATGTTTCGAAGCTTTTAAATTTGAAATTGTTAGACTTATTTTGCGACAATGCGACCGAAAGCGAATTGAAAAGCGGTGAAGAGAACTTCGGAACCCCAGAAAAATATAGGCAAGACTGACAAAAAGAAGAGAAGGAGGAAAGAGAGCTATGCTATTTACATTTACAAAGTCTTGAAACAAGTCCATCCGGACACTGGTATCTCCAGTAAGGCCATGAGCATAATGAACAGTTTCGTGAACGATATATTCGAACGTATCGCCGCCGAAGCATCCCGGCTGGCTCATTATAACAAACGGTCGACCATAACCTCTCGGGAAATTCAAACTGCTGTACGTTTGCTACTGCCTGGTGAACTTGCCAAACACGCAGTCAGCGAAGGAACCAAAGCTGTTACCAAATATACCAGCTCTAAGTGAACATACTCGCTACATAACAGGCCCTTTTCAGGCCCACGACATCTAATCAAATATAGGGACAACAATCTTATTTTCACGAATATTCTTAATTTTAAATTTAACTTCATTCAATACTCAACTATCCAAATCACTGAATTAGCTATTTTTCAGTCCGAAATTTCATAAATTGTTCGATGTCAAAGTAAACTCTTATTGTTTGTCGCATCAATTTTTAATTATGTATAGTAATCCAAAATTGTGATTATTGAGATTCAGGGCCGGCGTGACCTTTTGCGGGGCCTGGATTCATATTCAAATACTACACTTAAATTTTACAACGAGGAATTATTTATTTACAAATGCTGTTGCATATTATATGTTTTTTGTAACATGAATATTAAATAATAATACTTTGATGATTTTTGTCACTCCTTTCAATTTAATCAGCGCTACTAAAAAAATTTCTTGTATTTGTTAATGGTATCATCATTCTGTAAAAAGTTAATCAAAATCGATGCCTTTTAATTCAGTAATTTTCATAGACCGCGGGCCTTTTAAAACGCGGGGCCGGGTTCCGGCGAACGCGCTGAACCTGCCTTGCGCCGACCCTGTTGAAATTGCTGTCAAGAAATTAATAGACCTATTCAGCCCATAGAAACTCATTTTCATTGGGGAAATCAGGCCGACCTATTCGCTTCAAAGTTTGCTAATTTTCGAGGAAAAATCTTGGTTCGGTCCCGGCCGGTCCCATTGATGCGGTAAGCACCATGGGGTTCTTGAAATCGATACCGAGGGTCTCGCTTGGGATTTCAGGCCCAAGGAAGGAAAACAGGAAAATTATTGCGTACCTAGAAAATTCTCGGCGCTACAAGTAATGCATCAGTAGCAGTCAATACTTTTCCCGTTTTCCTTCCTTGGGCCTGGAATCGCAAACGAAACCCGTATCGATTTCAAGAACCCCATGGTGCTTACCGCATCAATGGAACCACCCGGGGTCGAACCGAGTTTTTTCCTTGAAAATTATCAAACTTTGAAGTATTATAGCTTGAAAACTAATAAAAATCGGGTAAATACATTAAAGCTTAATGAATTCGTCTTGAAAAGTATTGAGTTGTCCGGAAAGTTCGTGCCGTTTTCGAAGGAAAATTGGAACGCAGTATATTTAAATTTTAGTATAAATTTTTTAGTGTTATGTAGGCGCCATTTTGATCTACAACCTTTTTCCATCTTTCAGGCAATTTAAATATTCCGTCCGTTCTGATATCGTTCTGATATATTCAGGCCTGTCCTAACGTCACCTACCAAAAAAGGGCACGAACTTTCCGGACAATCCAATACTATCGTATAGTATAAAAAAAAATATATATAGTTCCATTTGAAAAACATTATATCTTGTTAAATAAGAAAGTTAACAAAAATTCCTTCTCGCTGAAACACGAGTCCCACTTTACCATGGAATTTCCGTATTTGAAATTTTCCATTTAGCCGATAGTTTTGGAGTTAGAGCGCTGTATCACTAAGGCTGGGACACCCTGTATAACGGATCAAGAGTAGTTTAGATAAGAAAAGATCGCTAGGTTATGAAAATAAAAATTGAATTATTTTTATGGAGAGATGTATTTATGGAAAGATGTATTTATCCAGTAGACGAAAAATTTGAAAATATATAATTTCGATAACATTAGAATTTAATTTTAGCTCTTGAAACTTACGAGTAAACATAACCTAATTTTCAGAAGGTGAATTTTATGCAGTGTTAAAACGTTAATATTTTCGTTAATAAATAAACAAAGTATCATTTGAAAGTTGTTTATTTTAATTTCAACTCTTAACACGGAAATGTGTTGATCCTTATTCTACGTCGCGTAAAAAACAATCTAGGTTAGGATTTCTTATATTACGTATCACAGTGTGGTTCCTAAACTAATACTGTTCTAGATTATTAAAAAAATTGTTCCCTGTTAAATGATAATTGGGGCCCTGAAAAGGGCCATTTGTTTGTTTAATCGTAACTTAATTATTTCTTGGCGGTTTTAACGGATTTCGCTGCCGCTTTTTTTGGCTTGGGTGCCTTTGTCTTAGCGGCTGGTGCTTTCGCTTTTCGGCTCCTCGACACAGGTTTCGTTTCGTTCGTCGGTTTCGGCTTCTCAGCTACCTTGGCAGCTTTCTTCGGAGATTTCTTCGCGGTTGCGGCTTTCTTCATCGGGCTCGGCGATTTCTTCGGTGCGGGTTTACGTACAGACGTCGTTTTCTTCTCAACGGATATTTTCAATTTCTTGGGTTCGGCCGCTTTCACTGGACGCTGAACCTTGGTCTTCGATTCCGTTCCTTTCGTCACGGAGAGCTTGAACGATCCGGAAGCACCCTTGCCCTTTGTCTGTACAACAGCACCAGATGTAACGGCCGATTTCAAGTACCTCTTGATGAACGGTGCCAGCTTCTCGCCATCAACCTTGTACGTCGACGTCATGTACTTTTTGATAGCTTGCAGAGAGGATCCCTTGCGGTCCTTCAGTTCCCTAATGGCAGCATTCACCATTTCGGAAGTCGGCGGATGCGAGGACTTGGTCCGTTGGACCTTTGTAGACTTTCCCTTCGGGGTACTTTTCTTCGCAGGGCTGCTATCGGCATTCTCCACCGCGGTGGTTCCAGCACTTCCTTTGTCCTCCATTATTTTCTTCACTACCGTAATCTTTACTGTTAATCCCTCACACAAAACTGCACAACAAACTTGTTATTTAATGAGCAGGTGATTATCGAAGGTCCACTGACAGTACTCTGATGCATCTCGCACCCTGCGGTACAGCGTATACGGGCAGCGGGCACGGACCATGGAGAGAAACCGTCGGATATGTTGAGCGACGAGTTTCTAGAAAAACGGTGAAGCGGTAAACAATCGTCCGATTTAATAGGCGATTGCTCAAAACCTGAAGCCCGTTATAAACCAACGACGACTTAAACAAACGGCCACGTGTATCTAGTTTCATTTTTCAGTTTTCATTGAACGATGAATGCCGTCTGGTTTCCGGCACAGCACGATTTTCCGGCGAGCGTCTTTTCGCCAGACTAGGGTACACCGTGGAAAAACACTAGAAATTACCGATTTATCGAGAAATTGTCACGAAATTATCAGCTTAAATGATCGTAATGGGACAAGCGGTTATACATATGGACGATTTTTGGTCCAAGTTCCGCTCGATCTTTCGAAATTATGAGTTTAAAATAGGTGGTGCCGGCATCTGTGTCTCTGAAGAGTGCATTGTAAAGGTTGGTTTGATATTTTATAAGCAGACGATCCCTAATACAAAATTGATAAAATTTTGTACCAAGTATAAATTAATGGAACGATAGACGAATAAAACGATCGAATTAACGTAGAAAGTGTGATTTTTCGTCAATTGAAATGAAATGAATTCGATGCGACTGCAAGGAAGTCACGAAAGTCATAACCTCATCGTGCAACAACGAGGCGCAAATAGTTAATATTATTTATGCAGTATTACGTCCAATTCATGGATTTTTTAGGATAAGTATATTTATTCTCGCAGAAGCGTTAAAATCGACGGAAGCAAAGAGGTTAAGAAAGAAAGGAATTTTGTGAAACGAAAAGGTACATATTCATAATACAACTGTAGGACTATGTAATTCGCTGTGGAATGATTTCTATTTTTATGAATTTTTATTATCTGCTGATTCGAATATGTTGAGTGCAATGGAAACATTATTTGGGGAAAATGCGTCATATTGTAAAATATCCGACACAGTCAAGGTTAGATTACAAAATGACAACGAAATGTTTTCTTCCACGATCATAAAAATGGTGGCCCTTATTATTTCATGAAAACATTAACACTTGCTACATTAATGTAAAATAGAATGTACATAAATGTTGCAGTCCTTTTGAAGGAAATAAGATAATAGGATAAGATTGGGGATCGTTTTACTTTTCACATGAAAAAATTATCGAAACAAATGAACGTGTCACGCAAGACCAATACTCGTCTGCTAGAGTAGACATTTTGTTTCAGATATTGTTTAAGTTTAAATATAGTCGGAAAATAATATTTAGAGATTAATAGTATTTAGTAATACGTTATCTATGGACTTTCGTGTCAAGGTAATTAAGTATATTGCCGCTATCGACATTTTCCATTTCTTCATGATTGGAATCCTTCTTTCTGTCCGTTGACATGCAGTCAGAATTTACATGTTTTCACAAAGTAATATATTTAACATCAGATGTATAGCAATCGGAGAAAGGACATTTTTTGTAGTTTGTCGATTCTATAATATTCGACGTGTTTTTATCGAAGGTACAGATAAAAGACGGCACAAAGAAGATGATTTGGAAACGTAGCCATAGAAGTAAACTCAAAACAATGATAGGGTGCGCCAGCAGTTTTGAGCATATACATACTAGGAAGAATATTAATACGCATTCTCGATCATGCAATTAAAGTTTGCAAAACTTAAAATATGAAGCCACTTTCGATTGATTTTGGACCTCGAAATAAGACCTTTATTTAATTTTGGAGTTAAAAATGTTTAATCTTAATAAGAAATGCACGCGAATGAAATTGTGCACACGGACAATTGGGACATTGGGAACATGGACATTAAAATTTTCGATATAATTATTAATTATTTTAATTCGATAATGATAAATATCGACGATGTACAGATACATAGACTTATCTGCCATAATAAGGAATCGAAAAGTAAATAGTATTATTTGGGGCACTTCTATTTTATTTTTATTTGTTAATTCACACTAATTGAGGCTTTCGAAAAGTAATTTTATTTGCTTTCAAATTCTGACAAGGTTCGTACACATTCTCGACTTTCATTTTGAGGTTATGTGCACTAAAACTACATCGTATTATTACGTTAAATCTAGTTCCGAATAATTTGTCCGATATCCACATTCGTAACAATTGTAATAATCAATTCGAAACGAAATGTGATCGTAAACTGACAGCTGTCACCTATATATATACTATGTGGTAGTTTTCTTTGCTGTGAAATCAAACTGAAAACGATGGATTTCTTTCGCGTGATTTGAAATTGGAATTAAGGGAATAAAAGTTGTAATTAACGATACACGATAACCGAGGGTGCATCGTTTTATGCGAACACGGAAAGTCTCTACATAAGAGGCGTGCGGTAACAGTAGTGACAAAACGTTTTGCAGCGGCCGGTGTCTCTTTGGGTGGGGAAAATCAATAGGAAAACTCGAGTTCAAATCAGAAGTATGGGTCATTAACGTTTAGCGGATGAAACGCGTGGTGTTATTTTCGAATGATTTGCCGTGTGTGTGTGATGTGTCCTTGCCCGTGGAACCTTCAAGATGACAATTTCGTCGAACGGTGCCTTTCGACGCGTGCGAAAGCTTCGCGAAATGTAGAATAAAGCGGCGACCTTTGTAACAGCTGTGTCGAACAAGAAGAAAATGTTAAGATATTGTATAATTATCGGTGCTTCTTGACATCCAGTTTGGAAGACGGTACCACACATCGAGTTGCACGTAACAATGACGATATTTCGAAAGATATTATTGGTTTGTTTCGCGTCGTGTATCCTGTCACGGATCGACCACGTCGAAACCACTCATATTTCGGGTACTTTCAATACAAAAGAGTTTTTTCGATTTCTCGTAAAATTTGGTTTCCAAAAGACCGATCGTCATCGGCAGAAAGATTCGTACGGATACATTTTCGGCAATGTAACGTCGAGAACGAATTTCTCCGAGCCGATTACCTTGGCAGTCTTGGATCGAGGTCATTTTATAGAGTATTATGGTAATCGTACCCTGGAAGATAAGAGTACTGCTTGTACTCTTATGTTTAACACCTTGAATCAAAGCTCTTACGATGTACACTGTAACGAGGAAGGTCAAGACTTTTTGAGGTATGTAGTTTCATTATATCGCTTGACATGATGCATGAGAATTAATCAAAGTTTTTCTTTCTTTCTAAAAAGGAGAGTACCTTGCCTGAAAGGTAAACTATGCCCAGACGAAGATTCCATATGGAACATCGTAAAGGGACACCAATTCACATATGTCATACAAGATTTTTGGCAGCCACGTTTTTGGTACATGAGTTTAGTGGCATGCTACAGAAATACGACTACCTGTCAGTGGGAATATTATGACAAACACGATGTATTAGAGTACGATATTTGGCTAGTAAATGGTAATCCAAATACTAGCGGCCTAAATAGTTTGACATACCAGTTTTCGTACGATAGACAAAACACCATTGAATTGTACTTGCTGTTTTTCACGTGCTATATTATACTTGTGCCACTACAGTTATATGCAGTGAGATTACAAAAGCACCCTGTGACGAGATTATTCACTGCTAGTCTGATATTAGAGTTTATAGCGGTGTGTTTAATTTTGATACACGTGATCAAATTTGCTCTTGATGGAGTTGGCTATGAACAGTTAGAAGTTGCTGGAGATATTTTTGATATTCTATCGCGAGTAAGTTTTATTTACATCATGTTCTTATATACATTGGTTTAAAAGTTACTAATTTCTTTTGAATGTTTCAGACATCATTCATGTTATTGCTTCTCTTACTTGCCAAAGGATGGGCAGTAACACGAATGGAATTAACATGGAAGCCATTAGTTTTTGCTATATGGCTTTGTTATGGAATGGTCCATGTTCTGCTATATGTATGGAACATGGTATGTTTTTATTTGTATGAGTTTTTATGCAAGAATATAATCTATGGCAAACGTACATTTAATATTTTCAGACAGAGGTCGATATTATCGAAGATATTGACGAATATCAGACATGGCCAGGCTGGTTCATTCTTTTATTTCGAAGTGCAATAATGATCTGGTTTTTATGCGAGTTACGGAATACCATGACATACGAGCATAATACTCAAAAATTAAACTTTTTACTTCACTTTGGCGCATCTTCTTTAGTTTGGTTCATTTATCTACCTATCATAGCGCTCATAGCCCTTCAAGTAAGCGCATTGTGGAGGTTTAAATTATTGTTAGGTAAGTATACTATAATATTATCCTAACGTAATTTATCATTTTTACACTGTTTGATGGATTTACAGGTATTACATACTCTGCTGATTTTTTTGCGTATTGTGTAATGGCACGTTTACTTTGGCCGACACGGAGCGAACAATACTTTTTACTCGCACAAGGAGCAGACAACGGCGATGAGCTCGACGAGTTCAACGAAGCACCACACGTACTGAACAATTACGTAGAACCTCCAGAACTTAGTAAAATAATTACTTAACATCAGATCACAAATGACAAAGGGCTACACAGATAAGAACTCAAACTTATATAGTTTGATGCGTGCTATATTTGCCAAATGGTAAAATTTTATAGGGTTGATAATACTCTGCTACATGCTACTTGAGACTGATGTATTCTGCACACTCTGTAATTAGTGATATACTAATAATCAAATTCATATATGTGATAGAAAGTCAATAATTGACGCAGGAAAACTAAAATGGGTGAGTATGATATGAGTACCTTTGGGTAATTAATTTATCGTTTATCAAGGAAACAAATACACGATTAAGTTGTAGCAATTTGTAGATACTGAATCATAATGTTAATGTACGATGTTTATGTAATATATAATGATAATGTGTAATGAATGTATATTTATAACTTTTATGTCAATGTACATAACGGTAACATTTAGCTGTCGAATATTTAATATTAGTATGATGTGTTATGACTAGTGATAATCAGGTATACATAGTCTCATACTGCTCATTTCTACTTACTTACAGTGTTATTAAAAACATTCCTCCTAGCGCTACAACGTAATCCGACAACTTTAGTTTACTCATGTCATACTCTTAAATCATATCTGTTTAACGTTAACGACACTGTTTTAATCTTCAACTTATTTTTCATTGCTATTTATCGATTACATCTAGGAAATTTAATAAGGTAATTATAAAATTATATTTAAGAAATTTTCAAATCCTGTACTATGGTACACATTTTGTATGGTACCACCGATACCACATTTTGTAATTACATAATATTCGCTCTGTACGAAAATTACTACACCGCGCGCTTGAAAGAATATGAAAATTTAAATTTACATCAGTGTGACTTTCTTCACGTTTTAATCTAACGGAATGTATTTGCATAGAAGCATGTATAACTATAACATGTATAAACGAAATTGTGCATTAGTACATTATACACAAGATTTTCACAAAGAAAAGTATTCTTTATGCATTTGTAATTTTTGTCAGTATTACATTAAAAATCCATACACTGTATTACATTTCAAGTAATCAATCAAATCATTACAAATATAACTTTTATATGTATTTTAATAACAGAGGGTATCGTATCTATATTTCTTTGTTCTTATAACAATTTTTACCTTTTCTTTGTATAAAAGTGCACCAACATAAAGTATTTAAAACATAAAATACGGATACTTTATGCCGAAATTAAATTTCTTAATATAAGTTTGTGTTCGCACAGAAGTTTCCTATAACATTTTTGCTCAATCTTGTAATAAAACGAGTATTAGAATAATAAAATATATACTTTCTTAGAATGTTTATAAGCCGCATACATATGTATTGAAATGTTGGTGCAATGTTTTATATATATTGGTACTCATAGAAATAAGAAAAAAGACGAAATTTATGTTCAAAGTATAATGTTTTGTTTTAATTTATTTATACAAGACCAAGTTCGAAAGAATATATATCAGAATTGAAAACTTGAAAATGAATTTGTTACTGGTTAAGTACTTGTTTTATATGTATCAATACTTCTGTATGCGATTATGTAACTAGTATAGTAATATTTCATTTATTAAAACAAACAATAGACATGCAAATTGTGCTGGCATAAATCTTGCATGCAGTGTTCTATACTATACACTATTAAAAAACAGAAAGGAAAGCAGTCAAGCATGTTTTAATCTACACATGACGTATGTTCTTTGGTACATAGAATTTTGAAAAGATACATTTTATTTCTATATGTATGAAGCTAGGTAGAGAGAAACAAAGTTTTAACATGTTAATAAAGTATTAATTGAAACAGATTTGAAAGGTCCTAATATGAGTTGAATTTATTTGCATACTCATAATAAAATAACCCTTTATTACATATTGTACAAAAGCATCTTATACTAATTTCAATTTTGATGTAATATTATCTATGACTTCCTTTGGACCTGGTCCAATTCCAAGTACAGAGATGGTACCAGGTTGTAACTGAGTTCTACCTGCATCTTTTATTATAGCACAAATGAGACCAACTTTATGAGCACTACGAGCTATTGATAGTAACCTTTCTTCGTTAGGTACTCCTACAACAATTTTAGGTTGACCACTCAATAACCAGGATTCCAATACCTGTTTATGCTTGACGTTGTTTAACGCTATACGATAACATTCTACCGCTGCATGAGCACACTGAGCTGCAGTCTTTCCTTTTCCCATAGCTATGTCTGATCTCACGACAATTATCATTTTGCAGTCAATATTTGAGTACTTTAAAGTATAATTACATAAACGTTTTACATAATTTAATATTGCTGACATATTTATTAAATTAAGAGTATGCTCGTTCCCGCTGTTTTTGATGCTCTTCCATGCATACCTTAAACTTTTGTACTTGTTCGCGACACTTTCGCCAGTCCTGTGTTTCTGCTATGCACTCCTGGAATCATGGTTAAGCATTACATTTTTGCGTGCTTTACAGTATTTCAATGTTGAAATGCATCTGTAAGATTAATACTTGAACTTCGTAATGCAATTCCATACAGCCTGTTTTCTTTAACATCTCCTCAACAGGATCTTCAACATTTTGTTGCTGTATGGTTATGTTCGAATCGACGGTCATATTAAACTCAAGCAATGTACATGCAACATCGACTAATTTTTAAAATCTAATAAACATGTTTGAATAGTTTATAAATTTAGGTTAATAATTTTCACGTGCGTTTTGTAATTTAACATTCGCACAAATATCAGATTAAGCAACATAACCCATATATATATACATATATCGATGATCGATATCGAATGTAATTATTATCTAACTTCAAGGCATTAGACATTCCGGATAAGAACGAAGGAATTAGAAATCTTTACAGTTAAAGTAAAGAGTTAAAAATGATTCAGATGCGAAAGGAATTTATTTACTAATGTTAATTCTTTCTTAGGCTAAAATATACATTGAAATAAGAAATTGTTGGTGTTTAGTCAAGCGTGAAATAACGATACAGATACCGTTAATTATTTATTCAATTTAATTGTATTACAAGCGTTTTCAGTGCGATCTTTTTAAGTAACAAACACTTTTGTCTGCTTTTGTCAGAAAACTAGAAAATCTGTAAAATTTATAATCGAGTAAGTGGTCCATAACGGCGCTAGCTTCGACATATGGCCGCTGATGACCGAGTTCTGCAGCAGACGACAACAAGCCATGGCGTAGTGTGGTTGAAAGCATGACATCTACGATATCTCGGTGCTTATCCCGCCAACATCGCGACCTTTGATTTTTATTCCGTATCGCGTGCCATTTACCAACGTGTGTGCTTGAAAAAGGTGTCGATGATCGCGTGTTCGAGTAATAATTGCGATTGGGTTCAGATCGGGGCGAGCGTTCATCCGCCGGCCGTCAATCGTAACATTTTCGTAAGTATTTACTGTACTTGTCTCGTTACGGTGAATTAAAAGATTTTCCTCGTTCGAAAAGCATCATAATCGGTCGAGAGAAACTACACAATAAAGACATTTTAACCGTAATCCGTGTCATTCTTTCATCGTTGTAAATCGCAAGGTGACATAACAATCCCATAATTCCATAGCACGTGGGTGACGCACGTTGAATACGAACGCTGGGAAAGATGATCATTATTTTACTCGATTCTTGCATCTTTCTATGTGTACCCACGTTTTTTCAAAATACGTTTCATTTGCTGTAAGAAACGTAAAAGCATAAACCTTTTCGTAAATATGTTTGTACCAAAATAACCTGCCAACAATTATTAGTAATTGCGAAACTTGTATCCTTGTTTTATGTCGTAAAAATTGTATCGTTACCGCATTAGCGTATGTAGTTACTGCACCCAAAGTATATATTAGGTGCGACAAGCGGACTGATGAACAAGGCCGTGGTCACCCTAATTTATATAGATTATTCTAATCAGTAGTACTTCAATTACTGAACGAGTAAATCCGTGGCTTGAGGTTCACGTTTTTTGTTAGCTTCGTGTAAAAAGTCGACATCATATACAAGATTAAATACACGTTCGTGTTTTGCAAAGAGATCATTCGTTATTTACTCGAAAAAATCGAAAATTGGATATTAAATTTCGTACTATTATCCGCCATAAAGTGATATCTATCAGATATCACAGAGTTCCTTTGGCTTCGTGTCTTTAAAAAAAATAAGATTTTTCTGATTCCGAATTAAGATGTGTTTTTATATTTTCGCGCTACGCGACATGGTGGGGTGCAGTGATGGACATTCGTAGGATTTTTCCTTCGAGGAATTCCTTTCTGCGCATGCGTAAGCTGACGTCACAGCTACATGTCGTCTGCTACCATACATGTATCCGAATCGCCAGAGGAGGTGGATTTAAGGGGCCTGTGAAATTTTCCCGCGTTTTTGACGGACAAATTAAGTAGAAGAGTGTTAGTGTTCGTGAGTGTAATATTAGGGAAAATTAGAAAAAAAATGGATAATGAATCGCAACCGTTCACGTCAGGAATCATCGAGGAAAAGAAGAGAACATTATATTTTATTCCTTACTGGGATCCAATGGTACCCTAAATTCTAAGTAAGTGTATACAGCGGTGAGGACTGCAACGCTCGCTCCAATGCGCATGATCAGGAAAAATTCCACGAATGTCCATCACTGGTGGGGTGGCAACGAAACGATAAATAGCAAGAGTAGTACCGAGTAAGCCGCTAGGTGGACACGAATAATTCGTACGTTTCTCACAAGTGCTCGGTGGGGTACTCGATTCGTATATAAGGCCAGAGCGAAACTCTACTGTCGGATAGTCTGATGCTTCCCGGGAAAGAACCTACGCATTATGCGGCCTATTTACAGGTCACATCAATGTTCCGGTACTTCACGTACACACTTTACCCGCGTCGTCATCGAAAATCGATTGTTTACTTTGTAAAACTCACTGTGGAAGTAAATTGTGACTATCTCTTTTGCAATATTTTTTCTTGTACGTTTTTTTTTTATCGTAATTTATTCCGCTTGTCGACAGACGTATCGATTTGCTGGCATTCGTTACCGTATATTTTGCGAACCGGTTATAGAAAACATTTGTCTAGACCGATAACGTGTCTCGTGTATTATCAATTAGGAGGCCTTTGTCCTGTATGGGTATCAAAGTTCACATTTTCACGGATCCGTTAACCGAGCTTAAACGGGAATTAATCTATACATTTTTCGTCAGGCATCGTTCCAAGTATGCAAATATACAATGATATTTCGCAATCGTAATTTATCGCGATAATTCAATTACCGTTATATCTCTTATTACGAGTCCAATATTAATTGCATTATCACGAGCACGAAACTTTTAACGGGTTGTCCATTGACACGGTCGATAACGAAATCCGTGTAAGCAGCTCGGTTACAAATAGATAGTTTTATTTAATAGATCGAGTACAGGTTTTTATAATTGAAATTCAACGTTTCCGATCGATAGCGAGGCGGTAATTTCGAGTCGCGTTTGCTGCACGATAACCGATGCATTTTTAAACGCCGTTGTCCTTGAAAAGCGTGACGACTTTTTTCCCGACAATTCACAAAAATACGAAACTGTAATGGCACGACGCGCTGTCTTGATTTAACCAGTTTTAACGAGAGTCTGGTGCGCAAATAAATACGGACATTTTCACTCTTCTAAAATGATGAAAGAATTTCAGATATCGGTCGATCGAAGCAACGTTGGTACGTTTATTGCACGTAAATTTTCATATTTGTGTTGGACTTTTATATTCGACGGCATCTAACCGTAGCAAGCAACGCGTTTCTGTTATCCGAAATAGAGAATGTAGAGAAAATATCGCAAAAACTGCTCTCTTCTAGCGGAACAGCCTACGATTCCTCGATAAGCCCGGATAAGCGGCTCGAGTCGGTTCATTTTTCCCCTCTGGGCAGTTAGATGCTCGACGGCGAGTTCCGACCAATCAGCGGAGAGTAGAGGGCTATTGTATGATTTTCAACACCTTCCGAAACGGAGGCGCGATCACGCGCGGAATTAAGAGGGAAACGCGGGTTCGTGGTTCGTACATCGCGCGTTGGACGGTTTAATTTTAGTGTCGTCGCTGGCCATGACCA